TTGATGTTCGAGTTGATACTCAAGACCAAGGAATGTACCGCTTTTTAACATCACAACAACTTTTTAAGCTACTGGACTGCTTATTAGAGTCACATAGATTTGCAAAAGCATTTAATTCCAACAACGAACAGAGGACTGCCCTGTGGAAAGCAGGTAAGCTATGCACGCCTCACATTTAATGTTTACTGTTGATGGATGTGGGACAGATACATACAGGTATCAGAACTCATTGACTGTCTACTGTAGGTATCTGCATGTCACTATGTGTACTGTGTACTCTGACCTTAACAGTAGTAAGGTAATCTCACAACCAGGCCCTTTTCTGGTCTGCAGTAAGCCAGATAACTACGTGGGTGAATTTTTTCCCCCTTGGTCTATTATTTGACTTATATTGTTCTATCATCTTGTTTACCCAACCTGGACCTTCTTGTTGATACTAACTGACATGATAAAAGCTGTCCTTTCATTAGGAAATAAACTTGTAAAAGTCACACACACAAAACCTGGCATGTGTATTTGAATGGCTTCTCTGTTTACTGGGAATGGCTAAAGCTCAAAGTGAAGGTGAATTTATTGGGATGTGAGTTATATTTGTTGTAGAACAAGTTAGACATTTTAAACAAAAAATAAGCTTTTATTATAAACCAAAGTGGCATTGTTAATTTTTTAATTTAAGAAATAGAGCCAGGTGCAGTGACTCATGCCTGTAGTTCTGGCTACTCGGGTGGTTGAGGTGGGGGGATTGCTTGGGGCCAGAAGTTTGAGACCACCCTGGCCAACACAGACCCTGTCTCTACAAGAAATTAAAAATTAGCGGGGCATGGTATTGCATACCTGTAATCCCAGCTGCTCGGGAGGCTGAAGTGGGAGGATCACTTGAGCCCAGGAGTTTGAGGCTGCAGTGAGCCATGATCACACTGCTCCCCTCCAGCCTGGGCAGCACAGTGAGACCCCATCTCTTAAAAAAAGAAAAGAAAAAAGAAAGAAATATAATTATTAGGTGCCAAACAGTGCTGGGAGGATGAGGGGCAGCAGAATAAGGCAGAGAAAAAGAAGGGGGCTGATAGTTACTGAACATCAAACTCTGTATCAAAAGGGTTTGGTGCTTTTGTTTATTTAAAACAGCTGTGGCATTCTTCTTCCCTTTACAGCCTAACTTCTGGAAAGAGTAGTCTGTACTTATTTTTCCCCTTTTTTCCTACCCAAGTTGTTGCCACCATTCCACTGGGCCTATTCCTGCTGAGCTGATAGACCCTCCTTGTGTCCACACACACTGGACCCATCATACCTCTGACAGAGCAGTTCTCACCTCCTGGAGGTTGCCCCTGTTTATCTGAGCGCCCTCGTGCAGGCAGAGCACAGAGCCCCTTCTACAGCTTTGGGGATTCGAGTGCAGTTTCATGTGAAGGGCTCCACCTTCCCAGGCCACAAGTTATTTTATATCTCATATCCCCAACGTGAATAGGGAGGGAATCCTGGACGTGGAAATCATCCTCACATCAGGCTGCTGTGGCTCCGCTTTGTAAGCAGCAGATGCTGATGGCTGAGCACAAACAAAATGTGCTTCCATATGGGCTGCTTCACCTTTACATAAGATGCCTTCCCAAACTAATCCCAGAAACTTCCCCTTTCTGCAGGATTCAAAGGCAAATCCAAGCCCAACCTTCTAAAGCAGGAGACCAGCAGCCTGGCCTGTGGGCTGCGCATTCTGTTCCGGATGTACATGGATGAGAGCCGCGTGAGTGCCTGGGAGGAGGTCCAGCAGAGGCTTTTGAAGTAAGACTCTTGACTGATTTCCATCTCTGACCAGGTAGCCACGTGGTGCCAGGCAGGAAAGGGGCACCGGTGGGACCATGCTGAGAGCTGAGCCTTTGGGGCCTGGATGCCCCTATTCCACAGAGCAATTGTAAAACTTAAATTCAGTCTTAGAGATGAATGTGCTTTGGTGACATGTGGCCAAATCATGTCTAACATGCAGGACAAAGGAGGTTTTCTGTTTTAAAACTGTGAACTGTGTCATTTATAGGCCTTTTTAATGTCCTAAGATAGTCCCATTTTTACAGAACAACCATTTGTGAAAGTGAAAACTTGCCTGCCTGCATTTACTTTGGAAAAAAATATTTGGAGTTTTTCTTAGTATTACTTTTTTTACTCTTTTACTTTAAGATAACTAACATGTAAACTCAGGCTAAGAATGAAACATGCCATTCAGAAAGAATACTACCATCTGCATTGTATTATATCTACTTAAGGAATAGATGTTCTGAGGCCAATTAAATACATTTTAGAATTTTAAGGGGTCACCTAGTCTCTGTTATCCCATTTGATTGACAAGACTGGTTGATTAAGGCCCCGCAGGACCTTGTGATCTAGGGCCTCACAAGGGTCAGTGAAGAGAGGAGTCGCCTCAGATTCCAGCCCAGGTCTCTTGAAACTAAGCTTCACATGTGCCACCTGCCACACAGCAGCTTTGAATTGAAAGAAACTTAGAAAATTAGGAAAATGTGGGTTTCCTGGTAAGTTACAATGGCTTCTTTTAACATGTTTGGTTTTCTTCCCAATTTGAAAAGCATGTTTATGTTAACACTCCAGCTAATGTAAACAGATAGGATCTAACATGTTCTTGAATAGTTCATATTCACTGCTGTGTTCATGATTGCTCTTTCTCAGTGAATATGGGGACCAGTAGATATACAAGTAACATTAAAGGAAGCCTTTTCTTTTGCAGTGTCTGCAGTGAAGCGCTAAGTTACTTCCTCACTCTAACATCAGAAAGTCATCGGGAAGCCTGGACTAACTTACTGCTTTTGTTTCTAACTAAAGTTCTAAAGATAAGCGATAATAGGGTAAGTATGAGGCTTCGAATCCAGCCCAACAGTTCTAGCCCTATTCGTGTCGGGATGCCGGGTCCCAGAGTTGCCGTGCAAGAGCTCTCAGAGCCAAATCAAGCAGTGCCCAGGCTGCACTGCTGCTTGTGCAAAACCACCAGTGGCCTTGCTGTATCTTCCTCAGTCCTCGCTTTTCTCCCAGCTTTGTTCACTAATTAGCAGTTCTCTAGGGGATTCAGTAGGTGAGGGATCAGAATCCGTTGGGATACCTCGACAAGTTCCTAGGTTCCCATAACATTGAAATTCCCATTGTGACCCCAGGAGTCTCTCCCTTTTCCCCATTTTGAAAACTGCTGTCCAACTACCTCATGACCTTGCACTCTGCCTGCTACTCAAGAATACATCTGGTTCCTGGGCCTGTGCTACGGGCTGCAGCTGTTCCTTTGGCATATTTAGTGGTTCCAGGTAACCCAGAGTCCCTAGTGAATGGGCCTCATATAAGAATTTTGAACCAGTAGAAATAAAGATAAAATACACACATGACTGTAAATATAAGTGCATAAAGGTTTTCAAAAATGTACATTCTACTCTTACAAAAAAAATTGCAACTTACAGCTCACACATAAGGAAACAGGTTGCTTTGCTGTGACCCTAGAATAGGTTTAAAAATGCCTAGTGATGTGGCCCAGTACTTGAAAGGCCAAGGGTTCTAAACCCCAGCCTCTGTTACTCCACAGCTGACTTTTTTTGCCATAACATGTCTCACTGCTTCTCTGGATCTGGAGGGGCACAGGGGTAGGAAATGAGGCTGCAGACTAGAGTTCAGAGATGAAGGGGAACTACTGTGAAGGTACAGCCGAAGTATAACAATTGAACTGTACATGTGAAACGTATGTAGCTTTGCCTGAAGAACTGTTTAGATTTTTCCCCAAAACTTAAAATTTTTATGTAACAAAAGATAAAATTTCAGTAACCCATAGGTTATAAAAACTCTAGTTTGTACTCAGTTGTTTTCTTTTGCTTATTGCCCAGGAAAAACAGTGCTAAATTACTAAAAGTTTGTCAAAGATATACAGGCAATGTTTTTCAAAGTAAGGATATGTAAGTGAGTAGTGTTTGTATGAAGTGAGTTTTTCTAAGTTCCACAACCCACAGTCACTGCCTGCTGTGGACGCTGCTTTCCTGGCTCCTGTAATCGAGCCCCAGAGTAGTTTGACTCTAGGCAGTTTGAGGCTCTGGAGTTTGCAATCACTGCTAATGGAGAAATTCATTTTCCCTGCAGTTTAAAGCTCATGCATCATTCTACTACCCTCTCTTATGTGAAATTATGCAATTTGACTTGATTCCTGAACTTCGTGCTGTTCTTAGAAGATTTTTTCTGCGAATCGGAGTAGTTTTTCAAATATCACAACCACCTGAACAGGAACTTGGAATAAACAAGCAATGATGGGAACTTAATATTTTTGTTGGCGTTTACATCCCTCCGCTCTTTAAAAAGGACGCTGGAGCTGAGGTTTCCTACCTGAAAAACGATTTCTCCGGATTGCAGTGTCTGAGAGTTACTGGTAAAGATGCTTAGAACTCTTATTCAAACTTGCAACACTCCAGTCGCTTTTAGTACGGGCGGATTTTGTGTGTTATGTTGGCCTCATGTTGAGCAGAAAGCCTGTTTAAACAGTGTCAGCTCATGCTCACGGGTCCTTCCCTGTCTTCCATGGCAGGAAAAGCCCCACATGTTTTTGGCAGGTGTGGAAGTGAAACTTACCCAAAGAACTATAGATGTAAAGATTGAACTTCTACAAGAAGTACAACTCAGGAGAGCTGTATTTTGAAGGATAAAATGTTTATAATTGGGGAGTGGGGAGAGAAGAAGAAATTATTGTTCATGGTAAAAGATATTTAGCAACTATGGGTATTCTTATTCTGAAGATTTTTGCACACTCAGGCTTATCTGAGATACTGGTAATCATCCTGTGAAAAATGTACAGAGATGCAGGTCTGTAATATAAAAATCTTAAACATTATATAGTTCTTCCTGCACTGTTTTCTTTCTTTATTTTCTTATTCATTTGCTAAATACCCATAATATTTTGTCAAATGCACTAAACATTTGGGTGGAACTTTCTTTTTTATTTTGTGGGGATTTTTAGTTTGGCCCTTTTTGGTGGGTGGTGATTTTGAGGCTTTAACATGCCCAGAAGCTGTTGTGGCCGACACTTCAACAACAGGGAAAAAAAGGTAGAAAATATCCCTACTGACAGTAACTACCTGTCACATATTTCTCTTAGGGCTTTTAAAGATGAGCCATTAAAATAGAATGATCCTTTATGGACCAAAACTTGAATCACTGCAAAATGAATCCAGATTGCTGTCATTTTCTTTTCTTTTGGGTGGTGGGGCTTGATGTAGATTTTACTCTATGTACAGAATTTAATGTTGAATATATTAAAATAACAAATCTGGCATGGTTTGCGGAGGTTAGATTTACTGGAAATGTATTCATACTGTGAATTGTGCTCTGATGGTTGAAAGACAAGATTGTCAAGCATTCCGTATTAACAGTGGATGTAGAAAATTTTTTCAGATGGATAAAATGTATATGGTACAGATGTAAAGTTTTCTATGTAAAAAATTCTGTACAACTTTCTGTACAATATTGATTCTCATCTGGCATATTCTAATCAGGTTATAGGTCAATAAAGTTTTTGAAATATTTCATCAGTGCAATCAAAACCTGTATAACCCACCCCCATGTTTCATTGATTCTTTTCTGTTAAGGCCATACTACTATGGAAAAGATATTTTCAGCCAGAACTACAAATTCAGTATTGTTTGGTTCTGGTATTTTCTTTCCAGCTTCCAGCATTAGATCCTCCCTCACACTGTACTTACCATAGAATATTTATTTTTAAGGCAGTTTTTAAAATTTTTATGTATCTATTAGAGACTGGATCTCACTCTGTTGTCCAGGTTGGAGCACAGTGGTATGATCACAGCTCACTGTAGCCTCAAACGGGGCTCACGTGATTCTCACACTCCACCCTCCCCAGTAGTGAGGACTATAGGCACACAACACTACACTTGGCTAATTAAAAAACTTTTTTTTGTAGAGACGGGATCTCACTATATTAATAGCCCAGACTGGTCTCAAACTCTTGGACCTGAAGTGATCCTCCCAACTCAGCCTCCCAAAGTGCTGGGATTATAGGCGTAAGCCACCATATCCAGCCCAAAAATCTTTTGATATTTTGCATATTAATATTTTATATATTAATAACCTAGCATCAGGCTACACTACTTGAGTGCTGAAAAGAGCTAAAGTTCTCTTCAGCACAGTTTGCAATATTGTGTGTTTTAGGAGTCAGTTGAAGTTGTGTGGTACATGGCATTAAACAAAAATGGAATGTGTCAATATCATCTAACATGGTTGTGTTAAAGAGGAAAAGTATTCAGTCGTCTCTGCTTTCACACCTCTCTTAGATAATGAAGTTACTGAACAATGCATTTGTAAGTGTGCCGTATTTGTTACCCCTAAGACAGCTCTGTTCAAGCCCAGCTGGATGCTAGAGCTGGGAGCCACTGTGACCTTGCTGTGCAAGGAAGGGTAAGTGTTCCACACAACCTGGCAGTTGATTATTTAATGGTGTAGTATTAGGACTCTTCCCCTAGAAGAGTCAGAGGCTTTCTTCTTTCTTTCAGATGACAATAGAACAAATCTTTACTAGTAAAGCAAACGATGGTCCAATTAGAAAATCAATCAAATATAAAATTTACAACTAGCCAAAACTCAAAATATCAGTAATTTGTCTGATATTGTCTACCATTAATTACATCAGAGGATGTATTGGAGAAGCAGTGCCTGGGGATGTTCTCAGCTGTCATGGTTGTGAAGATTCTGAGTCAGAATTTCATAATTTGAATGACTCCTTTTTTTAAAAAAGTATCAGTTACTGAGTGATTAGAAAACTCACATGGACTTACTTATCCAAGGTTCCATGGTGGTGGAACAAGACGACGACTCCGGTCTCTCTGTCCTTGACCCCCGGGTGTCCCCACCTCTGTTCAGCCTCCAGAAAACTAGTCTAGAAAGCTCCATAGTAGTTAAAATAAAAAGATTTTAGTAATTAAAATAAAAATTTATTTGTATCAAGAAGTAGTTATATAAATTAGTAACTTAAAACAAATGCCTTCATTGGAATAAAAATAGAAGCAGAAAGGTGTAACATTTAATGTATGGCTTACAAGAATACAAGCAATTACAGTTCCCTTCATTTCTGTATCAGTAGCTACAAATAACATGAAATAGGACATCTGATTGTGTCACACAGAAACTGGAATAATCACAGCTACAATAGATGTACCTACTAAATGAATTCTTTTGCATGGAGGTAACAATGGAAAATGTGCATGTAACAAAGGGGAGTCTGGTTTTACAGGACAGTTAAGACACTTATTCACCTTAATGACAAGCAGAATTCAACATACGCACAAATAGTAGTTCAGTTCATTACCACACTAATTTATGACAAAATTGTGCAAAAATAATTCTATACAATTCTATTATATAAATCAATAATCATGGCCTTATATTTATGTACACAATATACATCATAATTTTATATACAGATGGAAAAAAAGTAACTTTCAGGTAGGGGCCAAAAGTAGGACATATTATTGAAGGTACAGATTTACCATTCCTTTCACCTTAAAAGGCACTACTGGGTCCAATACAGGTTTATTTTAACCATGTGCAGTCGACAGGCCCTGCCAAGTGAAAGTGCCTGGTTTTCCAGGAACCTGCTGCTGCTCCTGGTTCAGCTGCTCTGCCATGAAGCGTTTCAGTGTTTCTGAAGTGCCAGGGCGGAACCAGGGCTCAGTTGCTACAGAGTTTGATCCGTCATCCCCTATGTGTTTCATGATGTCATCAGGGTCAACCAGTGAACTCTCATCATCTACAGGAGGCAAGGGACATGTGACTCAGGTAACAGGCAGGCAGGACAACTCGGCATTTCCCCACAGTGTCATGTCCTGAACTCTGTTTTGGTTAGACTCACCCCACCGTATTTTAGAGGGAGGAGAGCAGGCCCACAAAGGCGTCAATTTTGTAAAGCAAAAAATGATCAACTGAGTAAGCTGACTCCATGGCACTAGCAACCAGAGGGATTCTAAGTTTATCAGCGACACCTCTCCACCAGTCAACAGGAGGAATGTAGGTAGTTTTATTTTGTAACTGTTACCTCAGGAGAAGCCTAATGGCTACACATAATTTTTTTTTTTTTTAAGCAAGGTTTGGGGAATACTCTTCAACCTACAACACTGCTATAAGGAAATTAAGTTATTCTGGGAAAACACTAGTTGCAGTGAGATTACTTCCATTCTTAAAACATCTAATCTAAGAAGGCCATGTCCAGTCAATGAAGAGGTAGCTCTTAATTTGTTTCATTCTTTAACTGAATTTGTACTCAACTTCTGTGTTTACTTATTATTAGGTACAGTAATAGGAAAATCTGTCTTCCTACCCTGTGATGTCATATTCTTTTTTTTTTTTTTGGAGACGGAATCTCGCTCTGTCGCCCAGGCTGGAGTGCAGTGGCGCGATCTCCACTCATTGCAAGCTCCGCCTCCCAGGTTCACGCCAGTCTCCTGCCTCAGCCTCCCGTGTAGCTGGGACTACAGGTGCCCGACACCACACCCAGCTAGTTTTTTTTTTTTTTTTTTTTTTTTTTTTTTTTGTATTTTTAGTAGAGACGGGGTTTCACCGTATTAGCCAGGATGATCTCGATCTCCTGACCTCGTGATCTGCCCACCTCGGTCTCCCGAAGTGCTGGGATTACAGGCGTGAGCCACTGCGCCCGGCCTTTTTTTTTTTTTTTTTTAATTACATCTGGTCTGTGAAGGATTGTTATGTGCAGTCAATCCACATCATAACAAAAAGCTCCTGCTTGAAAGGACAATGTTAAAAAACAGTGTAGACATTAAAACTCTTCTGAAAAAGATTCTTAAAATGCTGTCTTCTCTCAGATATATTCCTGTTAATATTAATTCAGTTTGCTGGGTCTAAAAGAAAATGCCTTGTAGCTGGAAAGAAGACATCCTTTCCTACTGTCCCATCAATTAACCATGTCTGCTTGTGTTTGGTATGGAATTACCACCATTAGAACACACCACACCTTGACTGCTAGACAGACAGTATATGAGTACAGTTTTAAATTAATACAGTATTAAAGGTAGAATCTAAAAAAAATCTTGAGATTGTAATGTAGATTAACAGACTAAAGAGTATTTCCCAAATAGACCACTATTTGCTAAAACTAATATTACCAATATGAAACTGTCCCATTATCCCAGTGAGTAATAGCATTGGTACAAAAAAGGGTGGTACAGGGCTGGCAGTGTAGCTCCTTAGGTGTCCATCCTGCCTTGTGCTCTATGACTAGCTTTAACTTGCAAGTCACAAAAATACACTCATAATGAGACTAGTTTTATTTGACCTCTGAGGCTTTATTTGTCCATGGTGTGGAAAGCCAAATAAGAAGGTAAAAATTTTCTTTGTAGTACTACAGATTTACAGCATAAGTGTTAAAGAACTCAGTGTTAAGGCTAATTTCTAATAATGTTTTATTACTAAAGTTTTAGTAAAGTGATTACTATATCATATAGCATTTTCTCTGCTGAAAGCAAAGCCTGGATATATTTAATAAGCAAAAACTATTTTATCTGTTTAGACTCCACTCTAAAATGGGCACCCTCTCTGATAGAGAAAATCTGATGCAAACTTAATCCTGAGGTCTGGTTTTGCTCAATAGTTACGTCTTGGGCCATACAACTCAAAGGACTTCAAACTCATTCCATCTATCCTCAGACGTTAGTGAAAGCCTTGAGTAAGAAAGTTTAAAAGTTCATACAGGATCTCTGCTATAGGCCATTACACTTGGTCATTTACCTGTATTAATAGGTTTATTGTGAAGTTCATTCAGTCTTCGCATTCGTTCCTCATTTCTCATTCTAAGCTGATCGACATTTACACTGGATGTAGATTTTAGAGAGAGACCATCTGGTGCTACATTAGGACGACTGCTATCCTGTAGTTAGAAAACAGAACTTCAGAAAGTCGTTAACATAAAGTATGTTCACAAATCAGTAAATCAGGGCCAGGCATGGTGACTCTCAGTAATCCCAGCACTTTGGGAGGCCGAGGCAGGCAGACCACCCGAAGTCAGGAGTTTGAGACCAGCCTGACCAACATGGTGAAACCCCATCTCTACTAAAAATACAAATTAGCTGGGCATGGTGGCGGGCACCTGTAGTCCCCAGCTACTTGGGAGGCTAAGGCAGGAGAATCACTTGAACGCAGGAGGCGGAGGTTGCAGTGAGCCGAGATTGTGCCACCGGACTCCAGCCTGGGAGACAGAGACTCTATCTCAGGAGAAAAAAAAAAAAATCGACAAATCAAAACATCCTCTTGCCCTCAAATGTACATTGTGATGAACAAAATAAATGGAAATATGGAGCACTTATATTATGGCTCCTATGCTTATCCATGCAAGCTCAGATGACTCAGTCAAGAATAAGAAATAACATTTGTGATGACAGAAATGCTGCCAGTCTGGATAAAGCTTGGGAATTATAGGACACAAAAGGAAAAAACTAAAGCAGCAGGGGCTGAGACAGTCCAGCTGTAATCAAGGCAGTGTGGTACTGACATAAAAAAAGACAAGTAGATCAATGTAAGATTAAGAAGAATACAGAAGTAAATCCTTACGTTTACAGATGAGTTAACAAAATGCAATGGGAGAACAGTCAACAAATGCTGCTAGAACAACTGGATGGTCACATGCAAAAGAATGGACTTGGATCCCTGCACCTCACACCCTATGCAAAAATTAAAGTGTATCACGGATCTACAATTAAGAACAAACTGAAAAAAAACAAGTAAATCTTCATGATCTTGTGCTAGGCAATAGTTTCTTAAGTAAGACACCAAAAGCCCAAGAGAGATTGATGAGTTGGACCTCATCAAAATTTAAAAACTTCTGTGCTTCAAAGAACACCATCAAGAAAGTTAAAAAGATACAGAATGGGAAAAAAGATATGAAAATCACACATTGATAACTAGACTTGTAGCCAGAATGTAAAAGAACTCTTACAACTCAATAAAAAGACAATTCAATTTGAAAATGGGCAAAGGGCTGGGCACGGTGGCTCACGCCTGTAATCCCAGCACTTTGGGAGGGGAGGCAGGCGGATCACCTGAGGTTAGGAGTTTGAGACCAGCCTGGCCAACATGGCAAAACCCCGTCTTTACTAAAAATACAAAAGATAGGCATGTTGGCATGCACCTGTAATCCCACCTACTCAGGAGGCTGAGGCAGGAGAATCCCTTGAACCCCAGTGGGGCAGAGGGTGCGGTGCGCTGAGATCACACCACCACACTCCAGCCTGGGCGACAGAGCAAGACTGTATTTAAAAAAAAAAAAAAAAAAGCTAAAGGATTTGAATAGACATACCTCCTAAGAAAATATACAACTGGCTAATAAGCACATGAAAAGATGTTCAACGTCATTAGAGAAATGCAACTCAAAACCACCATGACACTACTTTACACTCAATGGCTAAAATCAAAAGACACTAAGTGATGGCCAGGATACAGAGAAATTACAACCTTCATACACTGATGATGGGAAAGTAAAATGGTACAGCCACCTTGGAAAACAGTCTGGTACTTCCTCAAAATGCTAAATACAAAGTGTCCATATAACCCAACAATTTTCCTCCTAGCTATATATATTCAAGAGTAATAAAAACATCAAAAACTTGTACATGAACATTAATAGTATCCGTAAGAGCTAAAAAGTGAACACAACCCAAATATCTATTAATTGTTAAATGGATAAACAAAATGTAGGATACTAATACAGTGGAAAATTATTCAACACTAAAGAGGCGTCAGTACTGGCACATGCTACAACATGAATGACCTTCAAAAGAAGACAGACAAATCCAGTCACAAATAACCATAGAGTGTATGATCTCATTTATATTAAATGTCCAGAAAAGGCACATCTATAGAAACCAAAGTAGATTGGTGGTTGCCTAAGACAAAAAGCAAAGCTATTTTCACCTGGTAATGCTGTACATATTAATAACGCTAATAGCATCTGTTACTTGGTGAGAGCTCTCTGCATACATGGCTCAGTGCTAAATGCTTCACATTAACTGTATCTTAATGTCATATAAAAGGAAACACAGAGTTTAAGAAATTGCCCAAGCTGCCTACCCAACAAGGAGGTGACATTGTTGGGACATAAACTCCAAAGCCTCTACTTTTTACTGGCTACACCGTAAAGCTGGCGAGCAGAGTGAGGAGAACATGGGTTTGAATCTCAGCCTTCTTGCCCATATGACCTTGGCAAGTCATTTGACCGAAATGAAGATGACGCCTATATCACAGAATTAGGTTATTATGAGGCTTTTCGATAAATGGCATCAGTTCCTCCTTGTGCCTCTCTGAAATCCATATATTCTGCAGGAGAAGAAGGAAGGTTGGGATGCAGAGCTACTTACAGCCACCCCAGGAGACAAGAAAATACTATTATTATCTGGAAGAAGCCAAAGCAGCAGAATTCAATAGCTACCCAAGGTCATCCAGTCAAGGCTGAGCCTAGATTCAGACCCATGTCTGAATTTCAAGCAAGTGCTCTTTCTTTATGGGGCCACACAGATTTAGCATGGGTCAGAACCCAGACCTCTCACTCTTCTAAGTTGAAAAGGGGGAGAAAAGAAGTTTCATACACACAATGTCTAGTCCTTTCCATTTGTTCCTCCTGCGCTCCCGTGCAGAGGGCAACTGTGATGGTGGAGGGAGGACGTCATCTTCAATGGCAGGATATGTCTCACCGTAAGCACCTAAGAGGACCCCAAAAAGCAGAAGGAGTCTTAATACCGCTTCAAATCTTACCCAGAGCTAAACCAAGAGCCTGTCTTTTCATTACATTTTGCTTACAATACCATGAAATACACTCAATTTAAGTGTACATACACAGTTCGGTGAATTTTTTAGCAAATTTACAGAGTTGTGCAATCATCACTTTAGAGCATTTCCATCACCTTAAACAGCTCCTTTGTGCCCACTGGCAATCACTCCCCACTCCTACTTGCTGGCCCTGGGCAAACACTGCTCTGTTTCAACAGATTTACCTTACCCAACACCAAACATAAATGGAATTCTACAACTTAATCTTATGTGTCTTTTCACTTAGCAATAAGGTGTATGAGATTCATCTGTGCTGTGTCATGTTTGTTTATTACATTTTACTGCTGAATAATACTCCATCATGTGGATATGTCATATTTTGTCTATGCATTTACCAGTAAATGGACATTTGCTAGTTGCTAGCAATTATGAATAACCCTGCTATGAACATTCACATTCAAGTTTTTGTGTGGACGTATCTTCTCATTTCTTTGGGTTATAGAACCAGAAATGAAATTGCTGGGTATTATGGTTAACTCTGTTCTGCATTTTGAGGAACTACCAACCTATTTACATTTTACATTGTAAGAAGGTTCCAATTTCCCCACATCCTCACCAACACTTGGTATTGTCGGTCTTTTTGCTTATAATCATTCAAGTGGACCGGAGCTAATTTGACATGGACAAATAGCCTACAACATCTACGGTAACCTCCACAGCTCCTTTGAAAAAAATTATACCTAAAGAAAAGTTAGAATAATACACATACTTAGAATCACCATTAGTTACTTTGCCAATTTCTATATATATTTGGGGGGATGCTGTTTTTGCCAAGCCACTTTGCTACACCAATAAATTGGAGACATCATGGCATTTCGTCTCTTAAATATTTCAGTGTGTACCCTCTAAGAACAAGGACTGGTTCCTACACTGCAAAAATCTAATTATAACATTCAGAAAATTTTATAACATTTATACAAAACTATCATCATTTAACATAAAATTGATATTCAGTTTTCCAAATGTATACTGTATAGGTTTTTAACAATAGGAATAACTTTTATTGAATAAGATGTGGGGCTTTCTATAATTCTAAAATAAGTTTTGGGTCCTTCCATGCCTTTTCATGGTTTAGTAGCTCATTTTGTTTTAGCGCTGAAAACTACTGCATTGTCTGGATGTACCACACTTTATCCATTCATCTACTGAAAGACATCTTGGCTGCTTCCAAGTTTTAGCAATTATGAATAAAGGTGCTATAAATATCTGCGTGCAGGTTTCTTTATGGACAAGTTTTCAACTCCCTCAGGCAAATGCCAAGGAGTATATACGCTGAACTGTATGGTAAGAATATGTTTATTTTTGTAAGAAATTGCCACACTGTCTTCCAAAATTGACTACACTTTTGCAGGCCCACCAGCAATGAATGAGAGTTCCTATTGCTCCAAAACCTTGCCAGCATTTGGTGTCAGTGTTTTGAATGCTGGCCATTCTAGCAGGTATGTGGTGGTATCTCATTTTAATTTACAATTCTCTAATGTGTTACCAGGTGGGTCCTTGTTCTTAGAACTCCCAAGATGGTGGCGGGCCGCTTTCAAGATGGTGGCAAGCCTCTTGTTCTCTGACCTGGGGTTCTTGGTCTCAGATTCCAAGGAACGGAATCTTGGGCCATGCATGAGTGTTACAGCTCTATTAGAAGCCGGGGTCACAGAAGAGAACCATGGAACCCAGAGACTAGTGTTCAGCTTGATTAGGACAAACCCAGGCACTTAGTCGTGCAGGAACAATGGCGAGCCTTTAGCCTGATTGGGAGCAGCAATGGGCGCCACCTCGGTGGATCAGAAGTGCACCGGATACCCTGCCAGATCAGGAGGGGTGGAAGTCAGAGGCGGGTCTGCGATGGCGGCAAACAACACTGGTGGACGGCAAGCGAAAGCTCAGCTTGAGCTGTAACAAACACGGACCAGAAGAGCATGCAGTTGCAAGATTTAGTAGAGTGAAAACGGAGCTCCCATACAATGGGAGGGAACCCAAAGGGGGTTGCTACTCCCAGCTCGAATGCCTGGGTTTATATCCTGATCATTGGCCCTCCCCCTGTGCTCTCAGGTGATATATGATTTGACTTTTTCTTAACCTCCTGCTTTAGCCAATTTGTATTTTAGTGAGCCCTCTTTACTACCTGATTGGTTGGGTGTTAGCTGAGTTACAAGCCCCATGTTTAAAGGTGGGTGCAGTCACCTTCCCAGCTAGGCTTAGAGATTCTTAGTCGGCCTAGGAAATCCAGCCAGTCCTGTCTCTCAATAGCATCCTTATATAGTCTTATATCTTTATGGTGATGTGTGGTGCAAGTCTTGCTCAATCTTTTAATCAGGTTTTTTATTTTCTTATTGTTGAGTTTTAAGATTTCTTTGTATATTTTGGATAGCAGTCCTTTATCTGATATGTCTTTTGCAAATATTTTCTTACAGTCTCTGTCCTGTCTTCTCATTCTCTTAACAGTGTCTTTTATAGAGCACAGCAGGTTTTTAATTTTTACAAAGTCCGGCTTATCAATTATTTCTTTGTTTTGTATCTAAAAGTCATCCCCATACCCAAGGTCATCTAGATTTTCTGTTGTTATCGTCTATGAATTTTTCAATTTAGCATTTTACATTTAGATGTAAGATCAACTTTGAGTTAATTTTTGTGAAGGGTGTAAGATCTGTGTCTAGGTTTATTTTTTCAAATGCAGATGTCCTGCTGTCCCAGCATTATTTGTAGAAAAGACTGTCTTTTCTCCATCATAATACTGCCTTGGTCCTTTGTCAGTACTGCCTTTGGTCTTTTGTCAGAGATCAGCTGACTATATTTGCATGAGTCTATTTCTTTTTTTGAGACAAGGTCTTTCTCTGTTGCCCAGGCTGGAGTTCAGTGGTGTGATCATAGCTCACGGCAGCCTTGAACTTCCAGGTTCAAGTAATCCTCCCACCTCAGCCTCCCAAATAGCTAGGACTTCAGGTATGTGCCACCACATTGGCTTTTTTTTTTTTTTTTTTTTTTTTTTTTCTGTAGAGACAAGGTCTTGCTTTGTTGCCCAGGGAGGTCTCAAACTCCTGGCCTCAAGTAGCCTCCCAAAGATGTGAGCCACTGTGCCCAGCCTGCATAAGTCTATTTCTGGGCTCCATATTCCATTCAGCTGGTCTATTTGTCTAATCTTTCACCAATGCCATATTGTCTTGTTTATTATAACTTTATCATAACTCTTGAAGTCAGCTGTGACAGTCCTCCAACTCTGTTCTCTTTAAACATTGTGTTGGCTATTCTGCATCTTTTGCCTTTCCAAATGAACTTTAGAATCAGTTTGTTGTTATCCACATAATAACTTGCTGGGATTTTTATTGGGATTGTACTAAATCTATAGATCAAGTTCAGAAGACCTGACATCTTGACAATACTGAGTCATCCTGTGCATGGTCATGGAATATATCTCCATTTATTTAGTAGTCCTTCAATTTCATCAGTTTTGTTGTTTTCCTCAGGCAGTTCTACATAGATAGATAGATAGATAGATAGATAGATAGATAGATAGATAGATAGATAGATATCTCAGTATTTCTTGGGGAAATGCTAATGTAAGTGGTATTGTGTTTTTAATTTCAAATTTCACTTATACATTGCTGGCATATTGTAAAGTGCCTGAGTTTTATATATTAATCTTGTATCCCGCAACTTTATTATAACTGCTTACTAGTTCCAGGAGTTTTTCAGTTGATTCCTTCAGATTTTCTATAGACAATCATATCATCTGTGAACAAAGACAATTCTATTTCTCCCTTTCCAATCAGTACACCTTTTATTTCCTTTTCTGCCTTACTGCTAATATTAGCTAGGACTTCCAGTATGATGATAATCAGTGGTGAGAAAGGACATCCTGACCTTAGCAGGAAAGCTTCTAGTTTCTCATCATTATGATGTTAGCTGTAGGACTTTTGTAGATGTTCCTCATCAAGTTGTAGAAGTTTCCCCTCTATTCTGAGTTGGCTGAGTTACCATAAATGGGTGGTAGACTTTAGGTTATCAGATTTGTGGGCATAGAGTTGTTCATGGTATTCTTGGACTATGTTTTTTTTGTGGGTTTTTTTTGTTTGTTTTTTAATTAAAACACTGAGATTTATTTCACATGTATATTTTTGTCTCCCCACCATTTCCATGTCTGACCACCACTACTACTCTGTCCTATCATGACATTCCATACATACTTAAAACCAAGCTAAGGGTGAAGTTGCATCTTTAAAAACTAAACAGGTATTGTGGACAACACATTCTTGGCAATGGAACCTGGACAACACTTATCAAACACGGTAGGGAAAGTTCTCACTCTGTGTTATAAAAAGGACAGCCAGATTTCAACTGTTACAGAAATGAAATAAGATGGAAAATTTTTAACAAATTGCTTAAACTATTTTCTTAAAGAGACTTCCTCCACTGCCAGAGATCTTGAATAGCCTCCTGATCAATCATCCAGAAGCAATTCTTCACATAATTAATGAACGTGGCTTCCATTTTGGGAAGAGAACCACCTTTTTCTATACTTGCTTACATTTTTGCTTTAATGTCTTCTACAGAACTAGGTCCTTTTGGTGTTTTAGGAGTTTTTTCCTGTTTTTTGAAGGATTCCTGTCCTTTTGATCTTGGTGTTGATGCTTTTGAGTCTTTTCCATTCTGATTTGACTTTTGTGCATTTATGGCTGAAATATCTTGTATAGATTTCTTCACTGGCGCTTTTTCTTCAGCTTCCTCATCATCAAAATCATCATCATCATCTTCATCTTCATTAGCAGCAAGTTTTACTTTTTTCTGTGGAACCCTGCTACCACCTTAGGGGCAGACTGCTTTCCAGATATACTTAAGAGTTTCACATCCTCCTCCTCTTCATCTTCTGACTCTGCATCTT